CAATTTTAACATATCCAGTGAAATACAGGATGTTGTTAAAACCCATGTTTTTCATGAACTGTTTTTTTCTGGAGTAGCTAAGGTGGGTGATGTCCGAGGCAAAATCAGTTCAGGCCAAAGAATGGCATCAAAAATTGCTATCAATTAGGAATGATTCGATATGATCCTTCGGGGTTTAGAAGTTCCATGTTTGGTTGTATTTTGAAGTGCGGCGGCAGCTCACTGATCTCTACCCAGCCCGCGCGCCGCACGCTATAGCCGGGTGCTGCTGTTGTCACAGCTTGCGTGGCACGTTGTTGACGGCAGATTCCTTGTTCGCTTAAGAGTGGCAGTGTGGCGTGGGTGTCAAATTGTGTGGCTCCGATTTGCGATCGATGATCAAAGTCTCAGGATATGTGCAGACCTTTTTCTGCGTCTGTTGGTCTCTTTATGGTGCTGTTTTGTCGAGAATTTGATTTTGGAGATTTTTGGAATATGTAATACTTCCCTGGTCCCTGGGCGGTTGATCTGGGAGTTTTTGTGTGTGTTTTTTGTAATGAAACTTTTCGGAGGTACGTCCGGAAATCTGACATGGACATGGAAAATCCCCAGAAAGCTGTATTTATTAGGGGGTTTTCCAGCCAGCTATGTTTGATGACACCAGAGGGTACGTCCTCAAATCATCCCTAAGGGGTTGATGAGTCTGTGGCTGACGTTAAATAAATGAGATTAAATGAGTTTGAAATATGTTGAATAAACCCTGCAATACAACCGGAATTTGATCAATAACAGGGCAGAGTTTGACACCCAGGCAGTCGCTGCGGTTTTTCTCATTTTCCCAGCTGACGCGTCAAATTGCTGAAGTCATGGCAACACACAGAACTGCATCAAATTGCTGGGATTGAATCCATGTTTTGCCATCTGATTCTATCAGTTGGAAAGAGTAGCAATAGTAATGTCAACCCCGGATTAATAGACCATGGTTTATTAATTAGGGGGGTACTCCTCCAATAGTCATAATCCAATACTTAAATGGTACCCCCCCCCCAATTAGACAGACTTAGGGTTTATTAATCCAGGGTTGACATTACTCAGTTGGGAGCTCCCTGCATGTTTTCTCGCCTGACTGCTTTTTTTTATCGTTTCCAACTGAGCGATTTGAGACGTTACAGTAGGGACGGGCCTTAAAGGCCTTACGGCTCTTGTGTACAGTTCCGCACCTTTCAAACGTAAAATCAAACACGTCGTTGAACGTCCAAAAATGCCTTCCAATTCTCAGTTGTTTTGTTCTGGTTGGGAGTTTTCAGCCTTTGTTCCGGGGACAACCATAGAACCAATCCACAAAAGGGACAGACACATTCAAGCTACTGACCATGAGCGAGAGTACAGCATTGTATCCCAAAAATCATGTTTTTCATTTGAGTGTAAGGATAAGACATTGAAAAGACTGAATATATATATATATATATTTATATGTGTATGTATATATATATATATATGGTGTATAGCCTCAAGCGTCGTGGTTTTCCATGATGTGGGGTGATTGGAGAAAGATTTGGGTCATTTTGGTTTTTGCTCAGGGCTTTTGAGCAAAGAATGATTGTATCCACGAATAAACATGAATTGTTTTTTCCTACATCACCTTCTTGATTATTTTCACATGGGTTTGGTCTACAAGAATATGGTATACATAAATCAACTGCTTTGCCATCATTTGTTGATCTAACTAGCCATTTGGCGGGTACACCCTAGTTTCAGTCGAAGCCCAATATCATAGTATCATATATTATCAATTGATCACGACATGACATATCCCATTATCCCACAATCGGCTGGTTTTGATGAATAATTGAGTCCAATTAAATCACCGAATTATCTCGTATTGCTGGTTTTTGTCGGTTAAATCCCTCACGATTGTAATCAAATCCAATAGAATGATTCACCACTATCCCCAGTATATCCCTATTGTAGCCCATTAAATCCCACTATGAAGCATCATGTTGGTTGGTAAACATCCCATGAAATCACAGTTTTTCTTTGGTTAAATCCCATGAAATCACATTTGTTCTTGGTGAAAGTCCCATTGAATCACTTGAAAACTCATGAAATCATCATTTTTCTGGGTGAAAATCCCATGACATCACCATTTTTCCGCGTTCAGATCCCATGAAATCAGTATTTTGGTTTGTTCAAATCCCATTAAGTCAGCATGGAGGGTTAAAATCCGGTCAAATCACCACTGTCCTGGGTAAAATCCTAAAAATTCCCATGGTTTGGCAGCTTCGGTTCCCGCTTTGAAGGCCGGCTCTAGCAGCTCGCCGCCGCGTGAAGATCGTGAAGGGGATGCCAGTGGTGAAGGTTACCATATTTGGGGAAGGATAACCATAGACCAAGCAAAATTGGGTCCCTAAAGGGTTTTGAAGGGTTTTGACTGCCATATCCACCACTTCAACCAGACACTTCGCCTCCCACGAAACCCACGAATCCCAGAAACCATGAGGTAGGGGTTGGAGAATCTATTCATCATGGGGTTCCATGTAGGAGGGTGGGATATGGTGGGACTATAAGGCCAGACCCACACCCCAAAAAGATCCCAAAAGCGGATTTGCTAGTGGGATTGGGATTTGTTGGGTTTTCCACATGATCATACTGAACCTAAAGCTACACCCCCGCCATTTTGGTTGGTTAAATCATGTTAAATCACCATTTCGGGATATGTCGGGGCTGTTGGAAACCCCTTGAATTCATTGGCTTAAAATTAAAAAGCCATTGGGGCCAGTCACTTTCACATTTGCAGGTGGCTTTGATATGGAAGACGAGTTTGATATGGATCTCGGAGGAGATGATGATGAGGCGCACTGCGACATCTGGGTCAACCCTACCAACTTTACAAGGAACTCACTGTGGATGGTGGTTTATGCTTGGGCTATATCATCCCGTATATCATCCCCAAAAAAGGCAACTTTTTTTTGTGGATGATCTTGTAATTTGATGTAATTTGCCCAGAGACTGACTCAACACTAGATCCTAGAGACAAGCTGGCCGCTGGCCGAATCCGTTGTCCCTGTTGTCCCCTGCACGAAATTTCCAAACGGCTGAGGGATGTGAACAGCAGTGAGAGGGTCCAAAGTCGACCGGAACCGGGTGCCTGGAAAAGAGACGCGGAATCTGTGGCATTGCGGCCATGGAGATGTGAAAGGGGGGTGTCAGAACCTTGAGGGTTGCTGAGTTACCCTCTGGTAATTTAACATAGCTATTGAAAATGGCCATTTATAGTTGATTTTCCCATTAAAAATGGTGAATTTCCATAGCTATGTTAGTTTACCAGAGGGTACCCTTTGGTAGTTTAACATAGTTGAACAACATTTAAGATAGCTGCTACCTATGGAAAAACACAACCATGTTAAAGGGTGTAAATCACATTTTTACACATCTATAAATGGGTCATGTTCCATAGCCATATTAAATTACCAGACCTGATTGGTCGTTTGGAACATGTTTTTTTTCCATATACTGGGAATGTCATCATCCCATTTGACTTTCATATTTTTCAGAGGGGTAGGTCAACCACCAACCAGAGACGGTACTAGTTTCTCATAGTGTCTCGAAGGGTCAAGTTGGATCTTCAGTAGACGACAGTTTTAAAAACATCCCAGCGGCCTGGAGGGTAGGTGGACTTGATACGACCTTGATACGACCGTACCAGGGAAACATATCATGGAAACCATAGGAAAACCATAGGATCTGGTTGGTGGTTTGGAACATTTGTTTCTCCCATCATATTGGGAATGTCATCATCCCAACTGACTTTCAGATTTTTCAGAGGGGTTGAAACCACCAACCAGATGGAAACCTTGTGTTTTCACATGTTTTCATGATCGTTCATAATGTCCATTTCTCTGCGAATTCAAGTGATTTAAGTGCGTTCCGTGAAAATGCTTACCATTTTTTTTGGTATGCTGTTTATCGTTCCTGTATTTATTTGGATTGACTTTTGTTTCCAGCGAAGTGCCTGAGAAGAAGTTGAAGCGTAGTGCCTGATAGATCAGAAGAAGAAGTTATAGCGTAGTGCATGTTGGATAAGCGGAGGAAGTTGAAGGGTGTTATACATTGTTATACGGGATATAAGAACTTATAAGAACAGGTCTTTGCGACTGGAAAGTTTTTGTTGAACGTGATTGTCCTATCCCCCGCCCACCCCCCCTTGTGATTTGGAGAGTTTGCTGCCTCTGTGGATCCGGAAAGGCGGTGATAGCATGATATGGAGGTTCCCAAGTCATTGGGCTACCCCAAGCTGGATGGTTTTTATTTCATCGAAAATCTGAAAATCACATGGACAATTTGGAGGTACCCCCATGACTTAGGAAACCTGGATGTAACTGGTGTACTGTATGTATACTGTATATATATATACTGTATACATATGATATGTATATACTGGTATGTAACGGATATACACCATCCCCCAATTTTTCGTCCCTGAAAAACGATCCAACGTTTCGTGGTTCCAGAAATCTTCCAACCCCAAATTTGGCGGGATCGATGTTGATGGCTACCAGAAGGCTACCATAGATCCACGATGGACATATAGTGGATATGGAGTTATAATCATGGTAAATCTACAACTAATATAGTATATATATAATTATACATATAATAGTGTATATATATGTATAATAGTGATATAATTATATATATAGTGTATATGTATATATAATAGAGTATATATATAGTGTATGTATTTATATATACATATAGATATTATATATTATATATTATATATTATATATTATATATTATATTATATATATATTATATATTATATACATATATTATATATTATATTATATATATATATATATTATATTATATATATATATATATTATATTATATATATATTATATTATATATATATATATTATATTATATTATATATATATTGTGGCTATAACATACTATGATTTATACCACGGCTATATTTCCCTTGGTTTTCATACCATGGCTTGAGACATGTCTGGCAGCCATTGACAGCCACAGCCCCCACCGGCCAAGTGTCGGAGCTTCCTCGCGGGACCATGACGGCGGCGGGGCAAGCCATGGTGGTCCGGAGCCATGGATGGGAAATCCATGGGGGAAATCCAATGGCAACGTATTCATAACCATGGAAAATCACCATTTTTAATGGGAAAATCCACTATAAATCACCATGTTCAATAGCGTTCAGTTGGTGAACATATCTACAATAGACCTACGGTTGAATTGGTAGATTATATAGTATTCATGGGTTTATAAATCATCATGAAGCATATAGTTAGATAACCATAAAACCATAGTTATTGTAGAACCCCCTTTGGGATTTAAACCCACATATCAATGGATTGGTTTAAGGGAAAATTTACAGGAAAGCCCCATATTTAATGGGAAATCTATGGTTTCCGGTTAAGATTTTCCCACCAAAACCAATCCGTTGAATGGTGACGATTTTTTTCTTGAGAGATTAGATAGAATATCACTATAAAAATCACAATATATATAGTTTTCATATATGGTAAATATCACCATAATGTTTAATATCACTATAATTTTCATATATGTTCACTATACTTGGGATGAATATTACTATAATGATTTTTCATTTTTCCAATTAGTGATATATGATGATATAAATATATAGAATATCACTATAATTCACGGTTTGTTATACATGAATATAACTGTATATGTTTTGTTGACTAAATATGTGGAACAATATATGATGATATATGTTGTTTGACGGATTTCTCGGTCACAAAAACATGTTGTTTTTTGTTCGTTTGTTGATTATCAGAGGATCGGGTTCACCAACAAACAACTGATGCAAGGATTCCTGGTGCATCACTGATATCTTAGGATGTTGGAAGCTTGTGCCCATATTGAGGAATGATCATCCGATCATCCCCCGATGAATTTATGCCAAATCGAAGGCTTATTTTTTCCCGGTATTTCTTTTGGACCATGAAGCATGCACAGCATACACCATAATTTGACAGATGTGATGCCGTGGTCAACTTGGTCAACTACCACCACAGATATTCCATGATATTCCCTAGATCAAAGCCAGCCATGTTTATGATTAAGAAAAAGGGCGTACCTCCACTGTTTTTTTTGACACACCCAGCTGCCATGGAAAGAAATCTCCGGCACCCTGTCGTGGTAAGGTCCTGGTGCCCATCCGGGAGAAATCGGCGATGACTTACATCAACGTGCAACGGCTCAGACCTGGCTCCGGGAAGCTGTGGGGACCTCCACGATCTCCCCAGGGTGGGGTCAAAAAGCCATAAAAAAAACGCATCGTTCTTGGGTAAATCCCATGAAATCCGGCTCGGCGAAATGAATCGAAGTTTTAAGAGTCGACAAAAATCCCGTGAAATCATCATATGTTCATATGTTTATCATTGTTTATCCATATTTTTGTTGGTTAGATCCCATTCAATCACCATTTTTCATAGGTAAATCCCATGAAATCACTATTTTTGCTGGGTTTTCCATACCTTTTCCATCCCTTTTCGCACTTCCAAGCGGTTATGTGGACATCACCGAGGACACCGATGCGCAGCTTATGGGGATCGTCGACGAGGAGAAGGAACGCCTCGCCCCTTGGCCCCAAAATCATGTAGTAATGTCATGCCAGGTCAGGTCAGGTCATGTATGTGTATATATATATATAATATGTATAACATATATTGTATGTATATATATATACATGTATCGACGTTATCGAGAGATGGGATGTTGACCAATCTCATGGGGATCTGACCGATTTAACTTTGAACTATCGAGGATTCGATCATGAAATGTGTTGAATCGATCATCAAACACATGATATTTTTTGAACCCACTGGTGAAATAGGGTTTGAGATTCTCACCTGTTGTTTTCTTTGCGAGAAATGGAAGATATTTACTGAACAGCTAAATATCATGATTTTTTGGCAGGCTATCTCCTAAGGTTGGCTGTGATTTGGGGTCTAGTCAAAAAAGCCTGGAGATATACCTAAGCAATGTGGTGCTCCCAAGAAAAATGAAGATAATGATGCACTCAATTCGGAGATGTCGCCAGTCGCCAGCAACACTTCTCAGGCTTTGCCAGCAATGATCGGATAGAACAAACCATAAGTGATCCCGGTTAATATTAACAGTGATTAATCCCATTGCCATTCTATCCCCATGTATACTATAATAGTATTAATACATATCAATACCATTGCCAGCAACTGAAAAGTCAAGTATTAATCAACCAAGCCATTCTGAATCGTTGCGATGTACTGTAACGAACAAAAAGAAAGCGATGTTCCGATGGTGACAGCGTGGTCTTTCGGGATGGCGTACCAGCACTGGCAAGTTGCAGAAAGCAATGATGATTTAGCCTCCGGATAATTGAACATAGCTATGGCACCTATGGTAACCTATGTTACATGGATCAACATTGCCTTTTAGTTCGATGATTTACCGATTTAGAACGGTGATCTGTAATTCCATGGATAGTATACTGGATCATACTGGATCTGTTAAGCTGTTTACTTGAACGGTATCCTGCTTGAGTTTAAGTACCATATACAGTAACCATTACCCACAGCTATTAAACGGTATCCTGCTTGAAACTACCGTAGCTTCGTTGCAGTCTATCTATTTTTAGCCACCTAAAGACTGGGGAAGCCACAATGTGAATGATTCAAATGATCGGCGATAGCTTCGCTAGTGTTTTGTAAGCGCTAGCTTTGGCAAATCATTTATTGTGTTACCCCGCATGACCTGTACCATTTGATGCTGGCCAACGCGAATGGATAGTTTTGGAGTCAAATGCCATTAAATGTAGCTAAGCACACCATACGTCAAAATCAAGTAATTACCCCAAACATCATCAAAAAATACGCTAGAGATTGGCCATTCTTGTAGAAGGTTCATTTGTATCAACCATAGCATGTGCAAAAGTCGCGCCTCATCAATGTCCCAACGCCATCTGAGGCACAAGTGGATCAGAATTTCAAGAAGGAACAAGAAAGAAAGGCCGCTTGAGTGGACGTGTTGCAGCTTTTCACTCGGAGGTCACCTTTTAAGTGATTGCGAGTAGAGGAAATTCTCCCGAAACGACCTGAAATTCAGGTTGCTGAATTATCAGAGTTCCACAGTTCAAGCTATCTCTTATCATCTCCGGTGCTGGAACATTTACCAACATTTACCACCAAAATTATCCAGCAATGTAGGTACAAAAAAAATATTGTACCATGAACCAGATCATAGTCGTAATTGCACTTCATTGTATCCCATATATAGTTGGAAAAACAAACTCGGTTAAATCCATTATTAACCTAATATGATATCAACCTCTGGTTATTGAACATAGCCATGGACAATGGCCCATGTATTGATGGTTTATGACCTACATAGCCATGGACAATGGCCCATGTATTGATGATTTATGACCTTTTAAAAATGGTGATTTTCTCTAGCTACGTTGGATATAATCTAAGAATATAAGGTCAAATAATCTATCAATATCATTCATGTAATATCATGGAAAATCATCAATCGTGGCAATATGTGATATCAGTTTTGGGCAAATCATCTCAGTTTTCAAGATAGTCATCTATCATATATCATCTATATTCATCTATCATTTACTAGGCATAGTGTCATAAAATATATATAGCATGTTATGCTATCATTGACACTGAAACTCATACTATAACTGATCACATCACTTTGCTTTGCAGCAAAACCTTAGAGCATTTCTCAGATTGTGTGTCTTCGTGTGCGTGGGACATTTAAGCGCACTTCTTTGAGGTAGGGCTGCAAATATCGCTTTCGATCGGTGTGGTGCCAGTAATGCTCTTTGGTTAAAATGTCCTTCAGGTGATTCCTCCACTTAGATGGGCCATTGGGATTTTTTTGAGGGTAAAAAAAAAAGTTACTAACCAGTGAGTAAAAATCCCATGGCCCATCTAAGCAGGAGCCACGTACTTTATGTGTATCGTTCAGATCACCACTCCCTGAAAGAGAGGGTGAGGGCGGCCGGATCTATGACAGTTGTTGCTGGCAAGCTACGCGATTCGACGTTGGTGGGTGCACTTGCGCTGTGCAACATGGGCCACTCTCCAGAGGATATCTGTTATCTGTTATATCCAAAAAGACTATTCATGGCTATGGACCTGAGGCGACAAAAAAAAAACTGCACTCAGTGACAGATATGCATCTTGCGACACCGTCGCCGTGCGATGATGCCACGGTTGTGGTTGTTGTTGTTGTTGTCGTCGTCGTCGTCGTAACTCTTCTTCCCTTACGCGCACCCCCTTACGCGGCCTGGGTCCGGGCTATTATTTTTTTGTTTTCATGTCGGTCAAATCATGATTTTTCACATAATATCTAAGTTGAAACATGTGAATTAAGTATGATTTAAACATATTTAAACTTTAAATGCTTGTTTAGGTGAACCATACTTATATTTAAAACTCTAGGTACTATTCTCACATTTTGGGGAAATAGCAACCTAAGTCACCCTAAGTTATTTTTGATACCATATACCACCTAGCTTGTATTTAAGTCAACCTTGTGGATACCTTCTGGTAAACAGACCCAGAAAACAACCAATGTTTAGTGGAAACTAGTCTTCCAACCTATCTGCCAGGGTCTATGTTAGTATACCAGAGGGTAATATTTGGTTTTGGAACATCTCTTATTTTTCCATATATTGGGAATAATAATCCCAACTGACTTTCATATTTTTCAGAGGGGTAGGTATACCACCAACCAGATATGTATATGGTAGTAAGAATAGTTACATATGATCTGGTAATTTAACATAGCTATTGAGAATGGCCCATAGAAATAGTTGATTTACCCATTGAACATGCGTGGATTTTCCATAGTTATGTAAACGTTTACCAGAGGGTATACAGCTATTTCCATAGTTATGTAACTTAATAGGGTTAATTGAACATTAGTCACCATATAGTTACCATATAGTTACCATATACCCTCTGGTTATTTAACATAGCCATGGAAAATGGCCCATAGAAATAGATGGCATACCTATTAGAAATGGTGGTTTTCTATGGCTATGTTAAATAAGCAGATGGTATCCCCAAAACATAGTTGTTGGGGATTTTTGCCCATCAAACATCCCCATTATATCATATTATATCCCCATTAATATTTGATTGGCATCTTGTCTTGTAGGTTTTCCTGGGAGAACCATATAGTTTAAATGGCAATGTTAAATAACCAGATGGTAAATAAATATATATATAATTATATATATATACAATAATAACATCTGGTTATTTGATACATAGCTATGGTATATATGGTCCATAGAAATCATATTCATGTTACCTTATATAGTTACCTAATATAGTTACCATATAGTTACCATATACTTACCTAATATAGTTACCTAATATAGTTGCCATATAGTTACCTAATATAGTTACCATATAGTTCAAATGGTTAGTGACCATACCTAGATGTAATATTTCACTAGATCACTATATATGATAGATAAATAGATATATACCATACCTAGCATGTACATATATCTAGGTATATATATATATATGTAGTGACCATACCTAGATCAACCGCCAGATGGCCAGGCCTCGGACCTGGCGGAGCTGCGCGAGGCGCGGAAGGAGCTCCGCAAGACGCGGCAGGAGCGCTCGGCGAAAGCCACGGAGGCCCCTTTTGCGCGACGGGGAGAACAGGGGGGAAGTGGGAAAGGTACTTAGATGGGCCATGGGATTAGCGATTTATGGTTAGTAACTGGGGATTTGTTACCCTTTATATCTCAATTATTTTATCCCCTTACAAACTAGTTAACTAACTCCATGGCCCATCTAAGTATGGAGAAAGCATAGGAAAATGGTGACAAAATTCCATGGGTTCATGGGATTTTGCGATGAAAACTTGTGATTTAATGATGGGTTGATGTGATTAGTTTACTAATAAATATATAATAATAATATAGATACATAATATATATATATAGTTATAAAAAAAATAATCCATGCTAGTGATCACTATAGTAAATCTAAAATATGCAGATACTCAGTTTTATCGTTGTAGTACCCACAGAACTCTATATATTTAAGTAGGGTTTTCCACATCTATGTTAGTGTTTCTTTACGTTTATTTACATGTAGATGTAAGTTTATACTAGACTCAGAAATATGTATATATATACATATTTATCTGGGTAAATTATAACGACCTCACTGCGACCTCACTGGAATAGTGGCTAGTAAGGGAAATCATCCCCAAATGGCCTTAATTCAGGTTACTGAAATATTATAATTTACCCATATATATATATATATATATTTATGGTAGGATAAATGCTCTATACAAAGTTGAAGATGGTTTGATGAGGTATTCTTCTGATTTCACGATGTTTAGACAACAAAAATCGTGACACTTTAGTCATAGATGAGTACAGTAGTAAAAAAAACAAAAAACAATAGTTGCCAGTCACTAGTTTGCTAGTGAGTATTAGTTCTATTAGCAACTATTTGGTTATTATGAATGAAGTTATTACTGATATGAAAACCTATAGTTGGGAAATATCACTATATGCAAACCGCAACCGGGGAAACATGCATATTGAGACAAGTGTAAGGAAATTAATATCACAAAAATGAACATTTAACGCAATAGAATGGTGACTTGAAAGGGACAAATATGTGCACGATTTACATGTTAATGATTTTATTAGTTTTATATTTGTTTATATATAAATATAGTTTGTTATCTATGTATCTGTAATTATATTGGTAAACATTTAGTGGTATTCCGAACAAGGCCATTTTTGATATCGGTCTTTAAGGCTAATGACTCACCGAACCTACCGAGTGACCGGTGACCTGCCGTGACCTGCCGTGACCTGGGCCGCCGTAGGTGGTCAAGTCCATGAAACCAGAGAAGGGAGCACCTGCCATCCCAAGTTTCATGTTCTTCGGCGCAATCTGACCCAGATGGAACAGCTGGTGTTTTTTTTCAGCGTTCCTCCAGTTGAAAAATGGAGTTGTTTGTTTTTCGAAAGGCCTGCGTTAGGGATATCTTTTTTGTAGTTGTAGTTGGTGCATATGTTGTAATTGCCCGTGGGTTTTCAGGCTTGCAACTGGCTGGAGATTTCTATTTCGGTGCGAGCACCGGCCGAAACAAACCTCCAGGGCACTGTTTGCATCTCTTTACATCGTCGTTCTTCCATTTATTGAAAAGGAATAATTCAAGATGGCAATGGAAAAAAACACCTTTTAACAGCAAATATTTTCTAATATAGTATAATCTGGTGTATACCCCAAAAATGGATGGTTTGTAATGGAACATCCTATTAAAATGGATGTTCTGGGGGTACCCCCAATTTATGGAAAGCCTCATATTTTCATAGTGTTCCGTTGCAAAGTTCAGATATTTTCCGGGTAACCAACTTCTAGATGATTCCAGCCCCTATTCCCACCAGATCCACCGTATATTTTAAGCAGGTCTTCCACCTTGAAATTCGGATGTTGGGTGTTGACTTCCCCCATCCACGGTGAACCCCATGGTTGAATGTCCCTTGGAAAAAAGAAGCATCGATTTCAGCAGCAAAGGAAGGTGAAGTCTGCAAAATCTACGGCAGATCCTTCCCCTGAAGGCGAGAGAACGGCAGAGCTGTGATGACAACTGATCGTTTGGGGCACTCATTTTTTTGCTTTTTGAAACAAATATACTTGCAGTATTTATTGTGGCTAGATCCACAATAAATACGCGTTATTCGTATACCTCAACTTATCCAACAACTTAGCTAACTAGGTACACGGCTCACAGGCGGCCGTGAGGAATTCAGCACACCAGCAATGCTGAGCATTTGTTTTTCTGCTGATTTACAGTGGTCAGAGCATTCCAGTCCATTTTGGATCTTTCACGCAGCCGTGCCATTGGTTAAAGCGGCTTCATCTCGTAATTAGATGGGGAAAAATATGTTTTTTAGTCATTTTGCAATGCAGTCAAACTATTTGTTTCAGTGGATGGAGCCGTCATTGAAAGTCATGATATTTCTTCAGCAGATCGACAAGGCATGACATCAATTCTTTGGGAGAACACGGCAAAATTGTTTGACGCCACATCCATTGCTGGATCATTGAAACTTGTAAGGCGGGCAGCCAAGAACGTTATCAGCCCCCCCCAAACCCCCCCAAGAAACAACAATGCAAAAATCAAGAGTGTCTTGCAAGTTACAAGAAGAAGTTGATAGCGTGTGCCAGGGTACGGTGCAAGAGAAGAGTGGATAGCGTAGCAGCAAGTCCAAGAGAATATCTCGTAAGGCGGGCAGCCAAGAACGTTATCAGCCCCCCCAAAACCCCCCCCCCAAGAAACAACAATGCAAAAATCAAGAGTGTCTTGCAAGTTACAAGAAGAAGTTGATAGCGTGTGCCAGGGTACGGTGCAAGAGAAGAGTGGATAGCGTAGCAGCAAGTCCAAGAGAATATCTCGTAAGGTGGGCAGCCAAGAACGTTATCAGCCCCCCCAAAACCCCAAACCCCCCCAAGAAACAACAATGCGAAAATCAAGAGTGTCTTGCAAGTTACAAGAAGAAGTTGATAGCGTGTGCCAGGGTACGGTGCAAGAGAAGAGTGGATAGCGTAGCAGCAAGTCCAAGAGAATATCTTGTAAGGCGGGCAGCCAAGAACGTTATCAGCCCCCCCCAAAACCACCCAAAACCCACGGCCGTCTATAAGCCGTGGTCCCACTACTTTGTGGCACTTCGGAGTTGTAGAACCCCCTATGCAGGGATGATAGCATCGCTCCATCCCCCACATTTTTGGACAACATGGGCTCAACTTGGGGTCAGTTTTGGCCAACAAGGCGTCGGCCTTGTTTGCAACTTGCAGGTGCTTGCCCCAATTTGGGTTCAACTTGGGCCCATCCATTTTTCTTGGTTACCCACTGGTAAACTAACATAGCTATTGAACATGGCCATTTATAGTGAGTTTTCCCATTAAAAATGGTGATTTTCCATAGTTACGTTGGTTTACCAGAGGGTAAATCATGTTAAATCCCATGAAATCCGCCATGTTTCACGGTGAAATCACCATGACATCAGCGCCAGGTGAGCAGGAACCCGAGGCGAAGAGACCACGCGTGGAGGAGGCGCGGAACTGAAGGGAATCATCCGTAGACATGGGATGATAATAGGATAGGGAACCATAGGAAATCATAGGAAACCATACAAGATGGTGCCCCCAAGATAGCTAAGTTGGTTTATAACTCTAATAACTAGGACTTATGGTAGATACATCTATAGTTAATGGGATTATAAACCAACTTATAGCTTGGGGGGCACCACCTTGTAGGCCAATAATCAAATCATTATCTGGTTGGTGAAGATGCTTTATTTCCCCCAATAGTTGGGATGATGATCCAATCTGACTTTCATATTTTTCAGGGGGGTTGAAGCCACCAAGCAGATTAACATGGGATAATAGGAAACATAGGAAAATGTGAATGGCAGAGCTTGGGACTGAGAAGAGATGCAGAAATTGTTGGAGAACAGTTTTGACACAGGGAATGGTCGGAAGTCTGGCCAACAACGAGCAAACTTCGTTCAAGCCATAGTGAGAGCTTTTTACACAGGCGCACATCGGCCAACATGCTGCTGGCCCTCACAGCATTGCGTGCTCAGTGTATTGCTGTACCGCCAGAGTATTGCAGTTCATCATTCGGCTCACTTCCCTTACCCAGATGCTCCAATTATGGAATATTTCGCTACATTTGGGCAATGTTTGGGGGTAAATGTAGGTAAATATTCCAGCACCATGGAGCATGGCACGGCTTTCCTGGCTTGGAATTCTAACTGGGTGAACTACGGTATATGGGGATAAATGTTACATAATGTAACTATACGGTTTATGTGGCAAAAAAAACCTGGATTTGATGAAGATGATTTTTAAGGTGTTGTCAATGATGTTTATATTTCTTGTTCTCCCAATGGGACATCCACTACTCGGGGAATCGATTACTGTTAAAAAAAAGCATATGTTTTGTTCTTGTCTTGGGGCGTTATTAAGCCGTCCAAGATCATGGGACTATTATATGGAAAATAATGAAAATTATAGTTTCTCCAGGTTTTGGTTTTGGGAATGATACTGGCATAATAGTAGTGGCCTGTATGTGTATACATATATATATATATATTAGAATAGAGATAGGGGATGCCCATAAGAATATGCGTTTGAATAGGGAACGTGATGAACCATGGTAGGACGCACCAAAAGTTAGGATGTGATCGCGAAGTGGGGATCAACATCATGAAACAATCCACTTATATGACTGGAAGACAATATGAATATGACAGCATTTGATCGATATAGAATCCAAGCTGTAAAACGATGAGTTTAACCCACTCGCAATATCTTGCAGTTATATACCTGGGCTTTAAACTTACCTGTTAAGACTGGCATGTTATTTACCTCCATGTTGTTGTATGTTGACCCATGTTTGCAGTCAACCTGCAAGAATCATGGAGAAATATACCTTAGCTAAGCAATGTGATCGAATTAGCATGAATTAGCAGCTTTAAAGAAGTGAACAACTGGCAATTTGTAGCACCTCTTGGTGGAGCGAAATTCACAGGATATCCCCAGTGAATGGAGGAACTGGGTTTGGACATTATCTGCACAGACCCGAACTTTACCTCCAAAACACATGGTGAAAAATGCATACCCTCTGGTAATTTAACGTAGCTATTGAAAATGGCCATTAATAGTGGATTTTCCCATTAAAAATGGTGATTTCCCATAGTTATGTTAGTTTACCAGAGGGTAAACATTGTAGATAATAGGACTCGAAATGGTATACATATGAATTTGCATTGAAAGCTGCAATTTGGTGATGCGCACGCACGCATTTCCAGAAACGCCCAAATGTCATAGTGTTGGTCATCGCATTATTTTCTCCCTACGGTGTGTTTATACCTCGTTTTTGGTTGTCAAATCCAATTAAATCACAAGTCTAGTTGTTCATCTACCATCAAAATCACCATTTTCCTCGATGAAATCCCATACATGACAATTTTCCTTGGATAAATCGCATTAAACCGCCATGAAAATACCATGAAATCGCATAGCCAGCTGATTTTCAAGAGGCGGTCTCAGCGAATCCCCCAGTTGCCTTAGTTGCCTTAGTGAACAATTGCATGAAATCCCCAATGAAACAAATCATTCAAAATCACCCGTGCTCCATGGTTCAATCAGATTAGATCGCCATGTTTCATGCTTCGATTCCATTCAATCGCCATGTTTCATGCTTCGATTCCATTCAATCGCCATGTTTCATGCTTCGATTCCATTCAATCGCCATGTTTCATGCTTAGATCGGATATCAATCCCCGTTGCCGTGCCATGGAGGCGCCGACTGCTGCAGCAGCCTCCTCAGGTCTGTCAGGTCTGGGTGGTTACGCGTCAGGCAGCCCAGAGGCGGTGGTCGTACTTAGGTGGGCCATGGAGTTAGTCATTTAGTTAGTAAATGAATTGGGATATTGGGATATAGAGGGTAACAAATCCCCAGTTACTAACCAGGAATCGTTAATCCCATGGCCCATCTAAGTAGGGGTACCCTAAATCATCATCCCCATCTGGTGATGCATTTTCTTTTCCGAGTCCAGGTCACCACAATTTTCATCATTTTGAAATCACCAAAAAAGTACCAGATGGGGATAATCATCCATTTATAAATTGGGATGTTCTAAAAGAAATAAACCATGAATGACTTGAAACCATCAAGCTATTGGGGACCATTTATGGACACCTTCAATTTTGGTGGTTAACTCCTGATGAAGTGATGAGTTGATCGGATTCAACGGGTTTTGTTTTTGTGATTTGATGGGATCTACGGGATTTCACCAAGCGACATTGAGATTTTTCCATATGTTTTGCTTAGATTTGATCCAAAAATAGATGAGCTTAGTCAGAAATCCAGAATTGAATCCAGAATCACTGGGTTTTTTTTAGCAGAATTCACCAAGGTTGTGGCGTACATAATGCCATCCATTGGTGATACAAAGAGCATATCTTCAGGGACAATATGATTTTGGGGTTGAACCACTTGTGGGAACATGGAGGATGGCCCGATGGCCCCCCAAGTTGCACTGCATTTTAGAGTAGCAATGGTGAAGTTCACGCAGAATCATGTTTGTGACAGCTGGTTGAATGGGTTTTCTAGCTGGCTAAATGGCTCTCTGATTTGCCATTTCCATCCAAAACTGAGTGTTTACTTTTGAACATGAGCACTTCTGTGGGTGCATTGGCTCCCCTTCGATGGTGCTCAGTGCACCGAGTTTGACCAACATCGCCATATCCTCAAAACTTGTTGGGATTTGTTGGGTGCTTTGGATTGAAATAAGCCCAAATCCCCACCAAAAGGCTTTTTTTTACGCCCTTAAGAATCATTTATTGTTGGGATTACCTTTGGGTCAACTGAATATACCCAAACAGTAACAGCGTTTTTTTGGCGAATAATCTTCACCCCAACCCTCTTTTGTAAGGGTGAACTATGAACCAATATGTATCATTTGGAAGTAACCGAAATGGGGAGGGTTGGCTGAATCATTTTACTAGACGGATCGTTCGAAGAAAAAAAATCAAAGGGGTACAGCCCAATTACCTTTTCCAAATGGAGAAAATGATAAATTCTCATAAACCAGAATTGTTGTTTGGTCAAATTGAATTCAATCGCTCTTTTTGGGGATCCAGTTGTGACAATCTCTATTTTGGTGCATAGATTTCTGGAGTGCTCTGACCTGCGTGACACCAGAATCATTGGATGAAACCCATTTAGTTGATGACTGGTGATGGTGCCGTACCACCCTTCATATACTAAGAATGGGTATATAACGTTATACAAAATAATCATCTCTGTTTGGCAACCCCCATGTTTACTAACTTACTAACCATTCTTCTACTGTCGTGCCTATCACAATCTCCATGCTATAAAACCCAATCATAATCTCCATATTATTGTTGGAGTTTGATTCTCCAAAGGGTTTTCACTTGCCGGCCATCAATCCCATTAGATCTTTTACTACATACCCATGATTTTGCCATGTTGTACCATGATCACCAGATTCCATTCATATATATATAATATATATATATATATGTATATATATATATGTATATATTATATATATATAGTTATATAGGTATATATATATACATGGAGGTCCAATGACCTTCCCATGATATACCATTTGCAGGATTTTTCCCACATACATCAGGAGGAACAAAGTTTATGCTCCTTGGAAGCTTTACAAAATATCCATCTCGGTCACCTGCGGATCACATTTTGGAGTTCGTTTTGTGTGGCAGGTGTGGGACGGCCAATTATCACCCTCTTTTGAATGTATAAGATTTTAAAGCTTTTGGAGGGTGGAAATGCGACCGGGGTACGACAAAGCTCCATGCTAGGATTCTACGGGGAAAGGGTGTGCAGAAGAAGAAACCAAACATGTTCACTGTGGGAAGCTCAACAAACGCAACTTTTGTCCTACCAGTGTATTGGTACATCCAATATCATTAGGCTTGGTGAAATAGATCCCACCGGAGCCCAGGATACGTCCTGCACATACATGAATATATGTATCTAGTTGGTGGTTTGGAACATTTTGTATTTTTCCATTTATTGGGAATAGTAGCCCCAACTGACGAACTCATATTTTTCAGAGGGGTAGGTATACCACCAACCAGTAAATATATGTATATTGTATACATAGTTTTATATGCAATGTAATGTAACATAACATAATGTGATGGGATGCACTGCACTGTACTGTAATGGAACCCAATGTATGTAATGTATGTAATGTATGTAACGCATGTAATGCATGCAATATGCAGTGTATAATATGGTGTGGTAGTGCATTGTAATGTAATGCAACGCAACAGTTTTTGGTCATGTCGTGATATGTCACACTGGTTTGAGGGGATCAGCCAAGGCTTGGCTGTACGCAATGAGTGCAGTGTCAAACATGATCCAGTGGCAGCTTTGGCTCGTGATGTAATGTGATATATATATATATGTGTGTATATGTCTATGCCAGTGTTTATGTCTATGAATATGTCTATGCATGTGTATACGTATATGTATTTGTACATGTGTATGTTATTTCAAACTTTAGCCTCTTAACCTGTGGGCCTTGTGGACCATGGAGGGAACTATGGAAGGGACTATGGAAGAAACCAGGGCAATAAGGATATCTTATAGAAGGTGATGTTAGAAACCATGTCAAGGGAAAATTGTTTTTGAAGAAGTAAAGAAACAAAACAATGCACACAGCGAGGACACATCCAGATTCATCAATCTGGGTTTGCACTCAAAGTCGTGAAGTACTTGACCTGAATTGAATTTGTATTGTGGACCGGTGATGAATTCAGTTTTGCTAATAACAAAAACTTGCCATGGATACTTTATACCTATCTGGTCCACAGTCTATAGATATAAAAATCTGATTGTGAGATTGGGGTGAACTTATGTTTCGGCCTTTCTTTTGAAGACTAAATCTACTTAGGTAATCTTAGGTGCAAATAAAATTCTACTTAGGCGTCACGAACTGACGCCTAAGTAGAATTCTATTTGCGCCAGATAGATTACGCATTCCAAATTCTAGTCTGGGGCTGTTGGAAGACAAAATTCATAATCTACTTGGGCGCAAAAAGAATTCTGCTTAGGCGTCACGAACTGACGCCTAAGTAGAATTCTATTACTATTTGCGCATTATTAGACCACGTCTTCCAAATTCTAGTCTGGGGCTGTTGGAAGACATAATTCATAGTCATAGTCTACTTAGGCGCAAATAGAATTCTAGTCTGGGGCTGTTGGAAGACATAATTCATAATCCACTTTGGCGCAAAAAGAATTCTGCTTAGGCGTCACGTCACGAACTGACGCCTAAGTAGAATTTTATTACTATTTGCGCCTAATTAGACCATGTCTTCCAAATTCTAGTCTGGGGCTGTTGGAAGACATAATTTATATTCATAATCTACTTATGCGCAAATAGAAATCTAGTCTGGGGCTGTTGGAAAACATAATCCATAATCTACTTAGGCGCAAATAGAATTTTGCTTAGGCGTCACAAACTGACGCCTAAGTAGAATTCTATGTGCGCTTAAGTAGATTATGCATTCCAAATTCTAGTCTGGGGCTGGCATTTGGGTGAAAATATGGTTTGTTTTTTCTTCAAGATGGGAGACATACTCAGGCGACAGAAACAAACGCCGAAGTGGAATTCTATTTGCAGCTAATTATGTTTTTAGTGTGAGACTGGGCTAAATTCAGCTTTGATTACTTAACAACCTTGCCCCAAATACTTGAAACCTTGAATAAATACACAACCCGCATACAGATAGTGGGTTTAATTTATGGAGAAATACTTAGGTGGAAGGAACAGGCGCTGAAGTCGAATTCTATCAATATGTAATTTCAATTATTTGGAAGGCAGTCATGTGTGTTTGGGCGCGCTGAGCTGGCTTCTGCAATGTGTTCAGGCTGTTGGGATTCTGTGACTTCGCTTTCCAAAAAAGAACAAAGGCAATGCTGGTTGTTGGCTGCATTCCCATTGCTGTCTTTTTCCCCACCAGTTCTGGACTGGATCAAAAATATGCAGTAGCGGTAGCAGTGCAACATCCAGGCTATATTGTTGGTATTTTGTCACTCTGGCAAGACTGTTGCTACTACCGTGCTACTACCCATACAAGAAACAAACTATATTGTATATAGCTGCCGATAATTTCTTGGACCATGATTTGATACTTTTCAGAATATATATATATATATAGCGCTAGCGGTGGGGTTCTTGAGGGTGATGATGGGTTACTTTCAGGTTGGGACTAATGCATCCGGAATGGCTCAACCTTGTCCGTGCCTTCCTATTCCCGGGATTCTTCGCACAGAGAACCAATTTACGTGACAATTTTCTTAGCGCAGAGGTCTCCAGAACGGTTCGGAACGGTTCTGCAGACCTCCAGAACGGTTCGGAACGGTTCTGCACACCTCAACTTTGCACGGAGATATTTCTCCACAGCTTCCAAACCCCCCAAAAAAAACGGTCAAGAGCAGTTCCTCCTGTTTCGCATTTTCAAAACCTTCCAAAGAGCCGCCCTGTGGCTCCAAGGGCCAAGGCTACAAGGAAGTCAGAAAAACGACAAAGGGGAGGCAACTTCTCCGCCTAAGTCTTTGAACAAGCAGTGCAAAGGCATGCTGAGCACAAGGGAGAAGGTGAAACTGGATGTAGACTACAAAAGGCTGGAAGTTTCTCAGCTGTTTGTTCATGGAAGGCGTGGCCCCTTTCAAAATCTTACCTGTCTTGAAAACTGTTCTGTGGAATCTTTTCTAACAAAATCATACAACTGTGTAGTTTGTATTGAAATATCCGTTTGAAAGTATCGCTTGTGTCGAATCATCATTGCTTATGGTACTAGTATGCGTTTATTTGTTCAAACTTTATGTATTAAAGTTAAATAATTATATAGTCAAAATATGCTATTATACAAGTTAACATATGCTATTATATGGAGGTCCCCGGAACCGTTCCGAACCGTTCTGGGGTCTATAGGCTTTGAATCCAGAACCGTTCCGGAACCGTTCTAAATAGTTCTAAATAGTTCTGAGGTTTTGGAAGTATCCGGAACCGTTCCGAACCGTTCTGGGGATATCTCCGGAACCGTTCCGAACCGTTCTGCAAACCCCAAATAATGGCTTATATGTTAACTTACTTTTATACTTGTATATAACTTGATAAAACCAAATATACACACTTGTAGCTTATAGCTACTTTGTAAAATACAACTCATAATCCATAACTCTTGACTATCAAACTTCAATAAATCAATTTATAAAGTTTAGGAACTGTTTTAAAATTGAAACACATTGTTATAACTGTTAATTTACAACTTAGAGCTTCTAGTTATGACTTGACACTAAAAACTGTGTAACTTATAACTTTGTAACCTTTTAACTTTGAACCTTTAACTTGTAACATAACTTTGACTTTACTTCTCGATTTGACTTCAACTGTTTAACTTTATAAGTATATTTTTGATGTTTGCTTTACTTTACTTGCTTTGTATTTATGATTTATATAAGACTGTTTGAGTTTTTAGATGAATTATATGTTCTTGTTTGTTCGTGTATGTTTCAAAGTTTGGAAGTATATCGACGGGGGTTGTTTGTATAAAATGCAACAATAAAGTTTAAGCGTTGTATTTGGATAAAATGACATATCTATAATGATTGTAATCTGTTACTGCAACACTGCTACGGACCAATGCACAACAACGTAGCGACAGAAATTCAGTAACACATCTTTGATCTGCTACAAATACGTAGGATATCGTAGGATTCCGTTTGCAGTTGATAAATTTGTTTCACCATGGTTTACCTAAGTTTTACCGTGGTCTTCGCAGCACCGAAAACAATACTTAAAAACTGTGGATTTGCATTTGCAGTTCATCCATGCACATGAGCACACAGCCATACATACACTCATCAATGCACTAGTTAACCAATTTTACAGTATACAGGGTCACATCGTAATATTGTTTTTATGAGTTGTTTTTCTAGTTGGAGCTTGCGCACATGCATTCTTTGGTGTTCTCCTTTTTGAAGAAATATGGGGCCCCGAATTACACAGATGTTGTATATTGTTGTATACGGTTTTCCTTTCCAACTTACGGACCAATATTTTCAAATACGAAGTTTGTATGTAACATCTAACTTGATGTTGAAAGGTTTTTTGTCCAAGAACTTGGAGCAATGCGTTTTTCTTTCAAAGTGGTGGGTTTCTTCATTGGGTGACATTTTAAGTGGAAACACCCCTTATTTCCATGGATTGCTACATAGTTCTTTCCATAGTTCTTTCCCTGGACATATGAAATCAACAGGAATCCAAATTTAAGAGACTAAGGTTTGAAATAATGTGTATGTGTATGTATATGTAACTATGTAAGTATGTGTATGTAAATATGTGTATGTAAATATGTGTATGCGAATATGTACATGCATATGTATATGGATATATGGATATGATAAGCTTATTGTTTTGCATGGATTAATATGTGTCTACATACATACATACATGCGTACGTACATTTAGATATCAAATATCTATAGCCGTTTTTTGATTGAGAACCCCATATCAGATCTAGTTCCAAAGCTCAGGTCAGACAGCGACGACGAGGACAGCGAGGGCGAAGCGTGATGGAACGCGCAACTTGGCGCAGAAGATGGGGGAAAGCCACTGGGAAGAGCAACAAAGATGGCATTTGGTGCCCCATAGTCAGCTAAGTTGGTCCAAACAAGTACAATATGTACAATAAGTGGTGTTTATGATTCATATATATCTACATATTACAGTAAATATGTATATATAGTTGAGGGGTATAGAAACCAACTTATTTTGGCTAAAGTTGATGATATGGATCAATCTGGGACTAGACCCATAGAGTTGACGGTCATGGAATAGTGGAACATATAAATTATCGACCAAGTATGGTGGTTGATCACATGTGGGTAAAGTGAATAAAGCTAAAGATTATGACTGGATGGTGGTTTTTAATGTGCTCCAAATACCTTCTGAGAAGGTATTTGAACCCAAAGCAACACCTTCAAATACAGTCTAGAAGGTGCAAACAGTGTTCGGAGCCATAGAGAATTCAACGAATAAGCTTTACAATGATATCACATGTTCGATATGTAGATGTAGACATATATGTGCGTATATACATACATACTTTTATATACTGTACATCAATTTATAGGCGTATAAAGATGCTATATACACATATTTTGTAGTCAATGCTATGCGTGGATGTTTTTTTTAGAGGGGTTGTTGACTGATCTGGATAACAATTCGTTGGTATCCTAGAAGACATGGTTGGCAGAAAGTGGCAAGCGCTATACAATATATATATATAATTATCGAAGGAAGTTTAGAAGTCAAACTTCCGACAATTCAATATGGACAGATGAAAAGCAGAGATGGGAAGAGTCAGAGAGAAGAGAAGAGTAGAAGAGAGAAGACCAGAGAAGAGAAAGAGTCAGAAGAAAGAAGATGCAGATGCGCGAAAAGGTAGGAAAGTCGCGAAACACTGTGTTTTCCAACGATTTGTGGCTCCGGAGTGTCGAAACGTAGGCTCGCTAAAGCAGCGGGTGCGGAGCCATTTGGCCAGATGAGAAATGAAAAATTGCACGCCGTTGTGGCGCGAAGCACATTTCGAAGTCAAAATGTACAAAGCACACCATGCTCGGACCACTTTTGGAAGTTGAGATGTCGAAAAAGTGCACGCCGTTGTGGCGCGAAGCACATTTCGAAGTCAAAATGTACAAAACACACCAGGTCCGGACCACTTTTGGAAGTTGATGTCGAAAAAGTGCACGCGGTTGTGGCGCGAAGCACGTTTGTAACTGAAAAAGCTAAAAACACTTCAGGTTCGGACCACTTTTGGAAGTTGAGATGTCGAAAAAGTGCACGAGGTTGTGGCGCGAAACACATTTCGAAGTCAAAATGTTAAAAGCACCAGGGGTTCGGACCACTTTTGGACGTTAAGATGTCGTTTCGCGTGGCAGGCGCAAGGGATTGTGGACCTTGTCAAAAGTGAGCAAAAAGTGAGGGTTTTGTAGCATTTCCAAAAACGATGGCAGGCGTGGGACATGTGAAGAGGATCTGCAAAGATGCATTTTCCGTGGCAGGCGCAGTACAAGAGACATCTTCATCAGAGCTGTTAGGAGGTCCGGGCGCTGATTTCCTGAGAGGGGTTCCATTTTGGAGCCTCAGATCTTCAGGTTTGCTGAGATGATTTTGCGTGACAGGTGCAGCACTTCGTATGACCTGGCATCACTTTTTCGTGGCGCGCGCGCAGTACTTTAGACAGGTGGACTGGAAAAATCGCAAACCGCATTGGTACGAGGCCGTCAGCTCTGCACTCAACTTTCCATTTTTGAAGGAAGTCTCGCAGAATTCTTTCGTTTTTGATGTTGTCAAGTTCGAAAAATGAGGAAGTCTGGCAGAATTGCTTCGTATTTGTCGTTGTCAAGTTCAAACATTGAGGAAGTCTCGGAGAATTGCTTCGTTTTTCCCCACATCTTTGTGTGGGGTTCTTGTTTTTGATTCTGTATCCCGGGCTCCTCCTCCGCCTTCTCCTCCTCCGCCCTCCTCCACACTTTGTCCACACACACTTTATCAACAAACACTTTGTCCAAAACACTTTGTCCACACACACTTTGTCCACACACACTTTGTCACCACACACTTTGTCCACGTCCACACACACTTTGTCACCACACACTTTGTCCACAAACACTTTGTCCACAAACACTTTGTCCACACACGCTTTATCAACATACACTCTTTGTCCACACACACTTTGTCACCACACACTTTGTCCACAAACACTTTGTCCACAAACACTTTGTCCACAAACACTTTGTCCACACACGCTTTATCAACATACACTTTGTCACCACAACACACACACAACACACACGCACACACACACACACCAACAGACACAACACACAACAACACACACACAACACGCACACACACACACACCAACAGACACAACACACAACAACACACACACAACAACACAACAACACAACAACACACACACACACGCGCAAAAGACACTTGGTGACATTCACACACACACACACACAAGTTGACACGCGTGACGTTGCGTGGCAGGCGTCGCACAATCTTACATCCACGGTCGTTTTGCGTGGCAGGCGTGGCACTTATGGTACTGGGTGGCGCCCTTGGGCCGGGATTGGGCGCCTGTGACGCCGCGGCACTTTGCGTGGCAGGCGTGGCACAACCTGACATCCACCTTCGTTTCACGTGGCAGGCGTGGCACAAACTCACATCCACCGTCGTTTTGCGTGGCAGGCGTGGCACTCATGGCACTGGGTGGCGTGCTTGGACTGGCTTGGGCGCCTGTGACGCTGCGGCACTTTGCGTGGCAGGCGTGGCACAAACTCACACCTGCTGTCGTTTCAGTGGCAGGCGTGGCACAAACTCACACCTACTGTCGTTTCACGTGGCAGGCGTGGTACAGATGACACTGGGTGGCGCGCTTGGACTGGCTTACTTTGGGTGGCAGGCGTGCCACAACCTGACATCCACCTTCGTTTCACGTGGCAGGCATGGCACAAACTCACATCCACCGTCGTTTTGCGTGGCAGGCGTGGCACTCATGGCACTGGGTGGCGCGCTTGGACTGGCTTGGGCGCCCGTGACGCCGCGGCACTTTGCGTGGCAGGCGTGCCACAACCTGACATCCACCTTCGTTTCACGTGGCAGGCGTGGCACAAACTCACATCCACCGTCGTTTTGCGTGGCAGGCGTGGTACAGATGGCACTGGGTGGCGCGCTTGGACTGGCTTGGGCGCCCGTGACGCCGCGGCACTTTGCGTGGCAGGCGTGGCACAACCTGACATCCACCTTCGTTTCACGTGGCAAGCGTGGCACAAACTCACATCTACCTTCGTTTCACGTGGCAGGCGTGGCACTCATGGCACTGGGTGGCGCGCTTGGACCGGCTTGGGCGCCTGTGACGCCGCGGCACTTTGCGTGGCAGGCGTGGCACAACCTGACATCCACCTTCGTTTCACGTGGCAGGCGTGGCACAAACTCACATCTACTGTCGTTTTGCGTGGCAGGCGTGGGACAGATCATCTCTCACACACCGTCACAGACCATCTTTCACACACCGACTTTGTCACACGCCATCTTTCACACACAACTTTGTCACACGCCATCTTTCACACACAACTTTGTCACACACCAACTTTGTCACACACCATCTTTCACACACCAACTTTGTCACACACCATCTATCACACACCTCTTTGTCACACCCCACCTTTCATACACCATCTTTCACACATCACATTGTCACAGACCATCTTTCACAAACCCTCTTTCACACACCACTTTGTCACATACCATCTTTGACACACCGCTTTGTCACACACCACTTTGTCACACATCACATTGTCACACACCATCTTTCACACACCACTTTGTCACATACCATCTTTGACACACCGCTTTGTCACACACCACTTTGTCACACACCATCTTTCACACACCATCTTCCACACACCACTTTGTCACACGCCATCTTTCACACACCGTCACAGACCATCTTTTCACACCATCTTTCACACACCATCTTTCACACAACACTTTGTCTCGCACCATCTTTCACCACACCATCTTTCACACACCACTTTGTCACACACCATCTTTCACCACACCATCTTTCACACACAACTTTGTCGCACACCATCTTTCACCACACCATCTTTAACACAACTTTGTCACACACCATCTTTCGCCAAACCATCTTTCACACACCACTTTGTCCCACACCATCTTTCCCACACAACTTTGTCACACGCCCTCTTTCACACACAACTTTCGCACACACCATCTTGCACACACCACTTTGTCACACACACTATCTTTCTTAGTCACACACCAGCTTTCACATACAACTTTGTCACACACAACTTTGTTTTACTTCTCGGTCCTCCACCACCTCCTTTGTCTTTCCTTCCTTCCCCGTCCCCGCTACAACATTTGGTGCTTTTTATTCAAAGAAGTTGTCTTGTGGGGTTATCCGGTCCTTTAATTGATGTTGTCAACTTTGAAAAATGAAGAAGTCTCGCAGAATCTCTTCGTTTTTGATGTTGCCAAGATAGATAGATAGCTAGATAGCTAGCTAGCTAGATAGATAGATGGATAGATAGATAGATAGCTAGCTATATAGATATATTGATAGATAGATAGGTAGATAGATGGATAGGTGGATAGATAAATAGATTGGTAGATAGATAGATGGATAGATAGACAGCTAGATAGATAGGTAGATAGATAGGTAGATGGACAGATGGATAGATTAGATTTGATTAGATTAGATAGATAGATAGATAGACATATGGATGGATAGATGGATAGATAGATAGATAGATAGTTAGATAGTTAGATAGATAGATATATTGAATAGATGGATGGATAGATAGATAGACAGATGGATAGATAGATAGATAGATATATAGATAGTTAGATGGATAGATAGATAGAATAGATGGATGGATGGATAGATAGATAGATAGACCGATGGATGGATAGATAGATAGATAGATACAAAAAATAAATCGATAGATCGATCGATCGGTAGATAAATAAATAAAATAAATGTATGGATAGATAAATAAATAGATAGATAGACAGATAGACAGATAGACAGATGGACAGATGGACAGATAGACAGATAGACAGATAGACAGATGGACAGATAGATAGATAGATAGATAGACAGATGAGAGAGAGAGAGAGGGAGAGATAGATAGATAGATAGATAGGTAGGTAGGTAGATAGATAGATAGGGTTAGGTTAGGTTAGGTTAGGTTAGGTTAGGTTAGGTTAGTTAGGTTAGGTTAGATAGATAGATAGATAGATAGGTAGATAATCAGAGAAAGAGAGAATAAGAGAGAGAAAGAGAGGAGACATCAATCACCTTTCGATCCATCAGTGGCTTCGCTATGCCATCCGTGATTCACAACAACCAACCTCTCCTTTAGGTTTCCTATTTTTGAAACTTCCGCCACCGCCTTGTGCGGTACTACTGGTATATATATATATATACATATTCAAGGTTCAAGACCCTAAAGATGGCTCATGTTTTCACATGTTCTTTGTTGTTTAAAAAAAACATAAAAGAACATATCACATAGAGCATTAACATAGGGTTGATTTTGTGGGTTTTCAAGGGGTCGAAGAGTTGTTCGAAGATTCGGAGCTGGACAGCTAAGGCCCATGGCACATGAGACGTTTTACTGGCAGGCACAAAGTTGCTGGGACGAGGACAGATTGCTAATGGCTTGGGCTGGCGTGAGGGAAGCGGCCCAGAAATGAAATTGGTCAAAAAAAAATATTATCTATCTATAAATAGATAGATAGATATATATATATATATTTAGAAAACAAAAATTCTGAACCTTACGTAGGAATA